GCGCGGTTGGGAAGCAACAGTAGGATGTTGTAAATAGTTGAACTCGTATACTAGAGTTTTTCTATCAGGGAGTAGTTTGCTCGTTCTGTTTTCTATGTAGGAAGAAAGACGATTTTTGGAGAAATGTCAATTTTACTTATTACATTGACTTTTACACGATTGTGTTTCGCAATTGAGGCAGTCACCTCTGAATTAGCGTTACCAAATTATTAGCGCTGGGTGCATAGGAGTTTGTGCGTATATTCTATGGCACTTGGAGGTATGTAGATCATTCCCTTGTCGACATAGGAGGATTACGTTGTTATTTGATACGACCTACACATTGTATGATTATTGTGTTTCTTAAAATATAGGAACTCTGTATACCACTGGATATATTAGAGTTAAGTGGAGCCCTTATAGTGAGGTTGCGTCTATTTGGGAATATGATGATGTTTTTCGCTCACAGTTTCCAAGCATAATAGAAGAAAGTAAGGGCGAATTCCGAGGACGGAATTCCTTTTATTAGGGGGGAAGAATGTAATACCCCTAATTTTAAAAGGATAGTCTCGGTATTTATTTATTTATTTTTATTATATTTTTTTTAATTGTTTAATCGATTATTTGACTAATTATTTATGTGTTTAATTGAATTAAGTGTTACTTGATTAATTGGTTACTTATCTATGTGTTATTTGTATTTTTTCTAGGTGTTATTTGTATTATTTGTTTAATTAGATTGTGTGCTTAAATGATGTATTTGATTAATGTTAATTAATTGTAAATTAAATGTTTTCATTTCTTTTATTATTTTATTTTATTTTTCTTTTATGGTTATGGTTAGTGGTAATTGGCCAACCAATTGGATCCCATGGACTGCTTGGATAGGAGGTTGGATGGGTATGGATAATTATCCATGGATAGTTGTATATGTATATATATAGATATATATGTATATACATATATATAAAAAGGAAAGTAATTTATTAATATTATAGTAACTTTAGTATTAATAAATAATCTGATGTATATATTTTATATATTTATATAATAAGGATATACATATATTTTATACGTAACATGTTTTAAGTTACCTTTTTAATATTATGGTAACTTTAGTATAAATCAATGTCACACTTCAAATCTTCTACTATCAACTCACAAGATCAATTCTTGGTCATATTGGAATTCTTATTGATGTTGTTGTTTCGAGCACCGCTTCTCTAAGTCGATAATTCAGACCTAAAAAATCAAAAGAAGCACTTATATGCCATTAGATATGTTTAAGTGAGAACTATAGATCCCACTTAACATATGGAAGAGCAAATAAGGCTTCTATTTAATTTTTAAGAAGGTCAAATATTATTTTTCTTCCGTTTTGTTCCCATTGATATATTTTCTACAATTTTGCTACTAGACTGTAGAGAATTGATACATTAGAAAATTATTCCAATGCACCCTAAATGCATTTATATGATAATTTAGGCCTAAAATGTTGGCTTATATGCCCATAAATATGTTTCAATGAGAACGTACAATGTATCCCTACTTAACATATCAACAACAAATAAGTCATCGACTTATCTTTTAAGCCTCAATTATCGGTTCAAATATCATTTTTATTTTATTTTATTTTGTGGCTATTGATATATTTTCTACAATTTTGATGCTAGATTGTAGAGAATTGATGCATTGGAAAATCATTCCAATACCCAACATGCAGTTATTCATAATTTAGCACTAAAATATCAGCCAAATTACCTAATGATCTCACTTAACATATATAATGCCAAATAAGCCCTTTGACTTATTTTTTAGGCCTGAATTATCGGTTCAAATATATATATATATATTGTTTTGTGCCCATTCAAATATTATTTTTCTTTTGTTTTGTGCCCATTGATATATTTTCTGAAATTTTGCTACAAGATTGTAGAAAATTGATGTATCAGATCGAAAATCATTCCCATACCTACACGCTTTAGTTGTCTTTTTATTTTTCCCTTTGTTTTCAATTTCCTTCATGTTCTCCTTCTTGTTACCTTATGAAGATTTAACGTTATATATGCAAGATTTTATTTATTTTTTCCTTCTAATGATTTTAATTTGAAAACTTCATTTACCAAAATATTCAACCATTTGAGGAAATACTTTATAGTTCCAATGAATAAAGTGATTGTGTGTCGCACAAGCTAAAGGTGTTTTTTTCGCTTATGTTTTTTTTTTTTTTAGTACTGTAGGGCATAGAAAGTAGTAGTTTTTATTATTGTTTTCACCAAAAAAATAAAAATAAATGATATATAGAAAATTACCCTTAAGCTAATGGTAGCTCTTCAGCAACCACCAGCAACTATAAAATATACTTCTCTAACTAACTTAAATTCTATAGGGTAAAATGTTCTTCAATATTCTACATATATGTAAAGTCTGGGTGTGTGTGTGTGTGTGTGAGAGAGAGAGAGAGAGAGAGAGAGAGAGAGAGTGAGTGAGTGAGTGTGTGTCTGTGTGTGTGCGTGTTTGGAGAGGAGTTATTGTCAAAAGGATTGAGATCTTCATAGGACCCTTGAGAATCTCCTTTTTTTTTTTTTCTTTTTTTTTTTTTTTTTCGTATTTATCTGGTTACGCCAAGGTTTTTGGCAGCTACCCTTTTATTTATTTATATATATATTCTTAAAAATATTTTATTTTGGAGAAGTCAAGTAAATATACAAAAATTAAAAGTGATTGAAAGAACAAGAGTTGTGAGTTCTTTTTATTCTTTTTATTAATAGTAATGTCAAATAATTTATTTAAAGGTTTTCTTATACTGAAATCCGTCTAAGAAACAAGCCCCTTGTTAAAATTACAAAATATTTATTTGACTTATATATATTTTAAAAAATAGTTTGCAATAAATAAAAAAAAAGGAGAACTCATGAAAGTGGTCTTGACAATTTTCGAACATAAGTAATTAAAAAAAAAAAAATTTGGTTTTATCAAACGTGGAGACCACAAAAACTTGGCTCAAAATGTGTGGGGACCACAAGAGAGTCTAAGGAGTTAAAAACTTAAAAATGATGCGTTCCGCCGCGTGATGGAAGACCATGGTTGGCCGCCACCGCCCTCCGTGAACCACGCGTTCGTATCACGTGCCGCTGACTCACCAACTTTTCCTCCTTCATTCTTTTTATTCCCATAAACCTCCCTTCTTTCCAACATTTCCCATCTTCCTTCATCAAGAATTTAGTTATTATTATTATTAATTATTATTATTATTATTTTGTCAAAGATTCAAAGCGGTTACAACTTCTAAATTTTTCATGTCTCTCCACGTTTTGCAAGTGTTGAATTGTTAATTATGTGAATACAAATTCAAATATAAACGCAACTGCTTATAAGAATAATTTTAATTATGCGATTAGATTTGAATTGAAATGTATATTCTATACTAATAATAGCAGTTTATGTTAAAGAATGAAAATAAAAGTCAACATCATTTACTTCGACTTGAAAAATAATTGAATCATAAATAAATCAGATTGAATAGTAATAAAATCAGATCAAATCATGTAATTCGGTTTAGTTTGAATCGATTCACCGACTCCATTTTTTTGTTTGTTTGCGCCCAACTAAAAAATAAAAATTCTCAGAACACATTGGTGTTGGAGGATTGTAGTGTAGGCCTACTTAGATCCTCATAATTACATGCTTGGTGGCTTTGGGATTTTGTTTGGTTCTTCCCTTTGTTTATCTTCTACGTAAAGGAGTAGCATATAGTCAATGAACCAACCAATGATTTACTTTCAAAATTGTCCGGAGACAATCAATTGGACACTGAAGGAATGCAACTCATATTACTGAAAATTAAAAACGTGCTTTAAAACAAATTTTATTTTCCTGTTGAAAAGGACATATTTGTCAAACCAATAAAAAGTTGAGTATTAAGGTGCTTATTAATTAGAATATTTTAAAAAAATTAGCTGTGTAAAGAATCAACACACTCGTTTAGTTACTTTAGACTTTTAAATAGTTTATATACAATCACGACAAACTACACATATCAAAATATCTGAAATATTCTTACACAGAGCTCCTGTAATATGGCAATTAACCATACGATGTAAGGACTCAAGTACTACAAATTTATTTTTGTTATTCTTTTGTTGTGCACATGCAATTTCTTTATTTAAAATACAATATTATTATACATAAAATGTAATATTTTTATTTCAAAAATATAATATTGTCAAAGTAGAAAGTAGAAAGGGTTATGTACTGATGTCATCATTTATAAAATTAATATATTGATATGTTATATTCACATGGATAAATACTTATAATGAACGATATCTTCTTTCATGAAATAGTCATGAAGCAACTCGTGTAACCAAAATTAAAATAAATGACAAAGGCTAATCGTATGGTACTATCAGACCTTTTTTCTTAAACAGAGGTTAAGAATTCGAGACTCGATGAAAATATGCGTGTGTGAATAATAATTAAGAAAAAAAATTAAAAATAAATGTTTATATTATTTCGAAGGGATAAGTTATGTTGTTCCCTTCTGATCGACTTCACCCTTATCAGACATAATATTATTCGTTTTTGGTTTCTCTGAATCAAAAACTTTCCACGGGTCACTATCCTGCACTACTCTAAATTAAACAAGTTTAATTCCGGAATTCTGATGAATTTACGACTTTAAAATGCGTAGTATCATAAAAGAATATTGAATTTACATATAATACCAGAGAATGTGAGATTGAGCCAGTGTGAAAATATTAGGAGCTGGTTTAATTACAGGAAATAACTTCACCACTCGCGTAACAGAAAACTTCGACAAATACCAATATTGAGTGATGACTTTTTTAATTTTATTTATTTATTTATTCATTTTAATTTAACTGCAAGAAGCTTCGCAGCGACGTCGTCAATTAGCTGGGGACAAACATCAACTCGTGCAATTGAGCGGTCCTCCCTCTCTTACCTGTTATACTTTTGTCCTCTTCCCTCTCTCTCTCCTCTAACCTCTCTTACCTTTTATACTTCCATTCCATCTTGTCCTCTCTCACTCCTAACCTCTCTCTCTCTCTCTCACATATATTTTTCTTCTTCTCTTCTTCATTTACTTTGTCCTCTTCTTCATTTCTTCTCTCTTGGAGGGGAGTTTAAACTCCTGAAGCCAAAGGTACCCAACTGATCAGGTCAACAATATTAATACCACATTTTGAGGTGTTCATTTTTTTTTTCTCTTTACTTTGATAATGATTTTGTGGTGTTCATTGGCTGTGATAGCTTTCATTCACTAGTACTATTTGGTTTCCAAATTGTCACTCTAAATCTGGTCAGACTCAAAAATAGTGTATATTCCTTCTAAAGGGATTGTTCCTCATATAACTTTCATATATCATATTCCTGTTATTTAACACATGTTTTTGTCTCCGTGTTTTCCTCCTGTTATTTCACACATGATTTTGTCTCCATGTTTTCCTCAAGATTTTGAATATATTTCTTACAAATTAAAATAATGTTTCATTTATAGCATTTGTTGAATGATAATTGAATAATTAATGGCCATTCCTCTTCAGTTTGTACAGTGGTTCCTTTCATATATATATGATTTCCCTTTTTAAGTACTCCGTATTAGGCAACTTCTAGTACTCCAACCACTATTACATTATGGAAGTATGGATCCCACCGCCTAGCTTGGATCCTCTGCTGTAACATCCTCTGTTGTAGTAGTACTGTAATTTGTCTAACACATAAATTATGTTTTTCAATTTGTTTATGTTTTTCAACATATTAAATTTAGTAAACTTTACACACATCCGAGAATACTGTCTAGTGGAGCTAGTCACTTTGATCTGTGTAAGTTTCTATGCGACACAAAACACTTTATGCTATATTATATATAAAATTCTTTCAATTTAATTTGGTTGAATTTGATGAACACTTGTCTCTGTATTCCAAATTTTGGGCATTCTATATGAGTCGATAAGAGAGAGAGGTCAGATGTGCCATGTAAATCCCAGACAAATTGACAAGACGCTCAGAGTTCCATTTCTGAAAAGAAAATCAAATTAAACCCTTAAGAGTGCCTTCTCTCTCTCTCTCTCTCTCTCTCTCTCTATATATATATATATATACACACACACACACACATCCCAATATCTGTAACTATTCCTCGTCTACCAAGCTTTGATCCCATGAAATGGTGTCCCTTTTAGGTGGAGCAACTTCAACTCCTCCATTCTATAAAACATCTTTTATGTTTGTATCACGACTCTTATCCATTTGGCCGTAAACATTCTTCTAATAATACATTAAACTACATAAATCAAATTTTTATCTTTCTTTTACTGAAATTCAAACACATTAATCTTGCAAATTGCAAAAAAGTTTGCAAGGACTAATAAGTACTCATACATAAAGAAAATTATGTTCATTTCTTTCTCCTTAATTTTTGGGTCTGTTATATTATATACATAAACATATATTTAATTATTTATTTACTTAAATATAATATATGGATCAAGACCACAGTTCTTGATGCATCATTTCAACCATTCACCCAACACAAGACAACATCATTAGCACTAATTCCCACTTGTCAGTTTCTTCAAACCCGCACAACACAAAAAAGCTCAGCTTCAACTTCTCTTGGTTTTCATCTCATCATTCGGTTTTCTCATCCTTTTCAGTATTACCCCCATTAACAATCATTTTCTGTGAAAAATGGCTTTTGTTTATACAACACGCGGTTATATATATATATATATATATATATATATATATATATATATATATATATCCTTTCAGAGATAATATACATATATGCTGAGTACTGTTTCTCATCACCAAATGAGTTAATGATTATATCTCATTAACATTTGTCACCTTTTCATTTGTAGGCTTCATTAATTCTTTTTCTTTTTGTATAAAAAATCTTTCTGGCACCCGAAGATATCAATTAATTATATCTTGTCACATAAATAAGAATGCATAGGTTGATCAGTACATGTCATGGGTGTTTCTAGTGTACTAAAGTTCTTTTTTTAACTTACCTTTTTATATTGCTTTTCTCTTTTCTCTTTATATGGGCTATGATTTAAAGATTATAGAGTTATATGAATTGATGATACAAGTTGTGGTGGTGGTGAATTTGATGCAGTAGATAGCAACAGCTATTCATTACAATCGATTCGACGATGGAGCCAAGCATCCCACCTGGATTCCGGTTTCATCCAACAGAGGAGGAGCTTGTAGGGTACTATCTAAAGAAGAAGGTTGCCTCACAGAAGATTGATCTTGATGTTATCAGAGACATTGATCTGTACAAAATTGAACCATGGGATCTCCAAGGTATACCAATTTCTTCTTTGTTTGCTTTTCTAATTATTAGGGTTTTTTGTAACACATAATTCTGAAAACATGCCTAACATGAACCTAACTTGGATCTAACTTTTGAAGTCAACTAAAATTAATACAAAAAGAAAAGCTTAGTCTTGATTCCAAGGGATCGAGTCAATGGTGTACTTGCACACTGTCATCCTCTCTCGATCTCTCAAGTTTGCTTGGACTTCCACCTCTTTCCGTCCACTTCAAATCTCTCTACTGTGATGCGAGGAATGCCTCATGTTATTAAAGACCCTAAAACTTTCATGTTCCCTAGCTACTAATGGGCATGGCTTCTTCAAACACAACCTAGATTACAGTTTTAGAAGAAATTAAAAGATTGTTATCAGCATCATATTAAGTGGTTTGAATTAGTAATGTTTTTTTCTCTGGAAATTAGCACGAGTGAATTGAATGGTGATGTTGCAGAAAGATGTCGAATAGGGTACGAAGAGCAGCATGAGTGGTATTTCTTCAGCCACAAGGATAAGAAGTATCCAAGTGGGACAAGGACAAACAGAGCGACCATAGCTGGGTTTTGGAAGGCGACGGGGCGAGACAAAGCTGTGTATGACAGGTCTAAACTCATTGGAATGAGGAAAACCCTTGTGTTCTATAGAGGGAGAGCACCAAATGGGCAGAAATCAGATTGGATCATGCATGAGTACCGGCTCGAATCCGAAGAGAATAGCCTTCCACAGGTAAGCATTTTCTTCTACTCATTATTGAAAACAACTAGATGTTACTCTCCTTTATTAATTCTTAATCTCTTCCTTGATCTACCAAATGAGTATGTTTGACAAATTTTGAATTAAGGGTTTTGAAGACACTTTTTCTTTTTCCATATTTTAGTAAAACTTGCATGGTAAGAGAGATATATATGAACAGACTTTCTTGACTAAAAATGTGAAATATGTGCGTGTGTGTGTGTGTGTGGGGTAAAGTTTCTTAGTACTATTAATTCAGGAACTTTTTCAACTTGTCAAGCTGCCATACAAAGATTAGTTCAATATTCAAATTTGGCATGTAGTTTTATTTTTCTCTACGGGACCTAAATATTTTCCAACTTGTTAGGTGTTGAATCACTGTACATTTCATGCATATATGTTCCATTAGCTGCAATCTCACTGTGTTTGTCTAAAAGAAAGAAAACTTTTCGTCTCCAAGTCAAAAGTTAATGCTTTTAAAGCCAAAAATTTCCTTCTTCCAAGTCCTTCTGGTATGAACAGCTCCACCCAATTCAACTTGTCAAAAGAAAAAATTTTCATTTCTACTCTCATCTCAGCATTTTGACTAGCAAACTTCTACAGTTCTACTTGCCAAAGGATAATATTTTATTTTTTCTAGTTGAACTTTATGACCTCGAAATTTCAACTTAATTTCTACTTCCTACCAAAACCAAAATGAATTGGAAATGGAAATGCGAATATATATATATAGATATAGATATATAAAGGGACAAAGAACATTGCCTAGTTATGGTCATCTGACAGAAGGGGAAGGAGGATCAAAACTTTGGCATTTCATTAAGGTTCCGTTTGTTTGGATTTTATTTTTTATTTTTTGGTGTTTGGTTGTCCTAAAATATTTATGTAGAAAAAAAAAATTAAAATTTAACAAAAATAACTTATCCATCAATTTTCGACAAGTTATTTTACATGCCTCGCTCGATGGACTCGGCCTCAATCTCGACGTAGACATTTGTAAAACACTGACAAAGTAAAAATAAAAGAATATTTTACCTAAAAAAGAAAAATATTTTTCAAAAAAAATATTTTATGTTGAAACAGACGAAGCCTAAACCACTGCTCTTATACTTGAACTTGCACAAATGACACTAATATTCAAATGTTAAACCACTGAATCAGATAGTGATCATGTGTTTATATAAAAAGGGCAACCTAGTGTGCGAGGCTCCCGCCATTACAAGGTCTGGCAAGAATCAGATATACGCAGCCTTACCTCTGCTGTGTATGTATATATATATATATATATATATATATATATATATATATATTCCTATTTCCATCTTGTTTACTTGGGCAAGCTCTTGTTGCAGGAAGAAGGATGGGTAGTGTGCCGCGCATTCAAGAAGCGAATAACAAGCCAAACCAAGAGCATTGAAGGGTGGGAGTCTAGCTATTTTTACGACGAACCAAGTGGTGTCAGCTCACTAGTTGATTCGACTGATTACAATACTACAACAAGGCAGTCTCAGAACTATTTTTCTCAAAATTTCATGTGCAAGAGAGAGATAGAAGCCGACAATTCAAATTTCACACACTCTGATCAATTTGTACAGCTTCCTCATCTACAAAGCCCATCCATACCTCTGCCACTAACAAAGAAGCCAAGCTCAGCATCTCTGGTGTCAGAAAATAATGAGGAAGAGGATCAAATTAGAGGGTGCAATAACGCGACGAAAGTGACGGATTGGAGGGCCCTTGACAAGTTTGTTGCTTCGCAATTGAGTCAAGAGGAAAGATCATTCGAAGGTGATGGGTTGTCAAGTAGTTTTGGAATGCATAGTAATTCAGATATGATGTTACTATTATTGCAGAATGGTAGAGAAGAAGGAGGGACCAAGTTAGATGAGTGTGACATTGGAACTTGTCTATTCCATGAATGAAGAGAGTGTGGTGATGAGGTTTAATACTAATGATATTAATTTTGATTATATGTTTATAAGTTAAAAGGATCTTGAAGATATACATATTATGTAAAAATATGGTTGTATATATATATATGAGTGAAGAAAAGAAACTCCTCTCTCACATATGCCAAGTCCTCTACTTTGCAGTCTTCGCAGTGTCATATGCAGAAGATAGAAAAGCTAACACTACAATGAAAATACTACCTCCGTCTCATGGCTCCCTCCCACAGCTAAGGCCTTCTAATAGAAAGTAGTATGCCTGGTTCCCAATCTCTAACTCAAAAATTGGAGTTTTCTCCCGGCTTTCAGAACATTAGTCACTTCAAAAACTTTGACTCAAAAATATTATTTACCTCACAATTGTGAATTAAAATTTCAGAAGTGAACATCTAATATATAACAAAAATAGTAATTATACAACACATTATTTACTGCATTCAGGTATGAAATATCAAATATGGTAAAAAGCTATTCGTCTATCATATAGAGGTAAAATAAAAAATTGGTACGTATACATCTTTTTACCAATTTCTTTTCCCCTAATATGTTAAATTTTCATTTTATTTCTTAAAAATAATATTGTTGACATTGTTTTTATCGGTGTAAATCATGTGACAATTAATAATTCTCATATACATTTAGAAAAATATTTTTACTTTTTTAAAAAATTGACAAAAGTTCTTATTGGACTCTATATATGAAGTAGCTACAAAAAAATAAATAAATAAAAATCGATTTCTGTAACGGTAATGTTTCATTTTTAACGAGGGTATTAAAGTATGAAGGTAATAAATCAAAAGTCACTGACGATGACTGATCATGGTAAGCATGAGAGTTGAGGTGCATGGGATGGACTCGCTGTGAGTAGCAAAAACAAGAAATATGAGAAAAATGTGGGGTTGATTGGATAGATTGACTGATCATGCATGGGTAAGCATGAGTCATCTCTCTGTGTGCTTTAGTGGGGCCCATGGGTTGTCTAGCATGCTGAGTGCCACCACGGTTTATGCTGGCATGCTTGTCGAACCAACTCTATAGACAATTTGACCAACCCTAGCTTCACTTGTCCTCTTGGTGCCACACACAACAATAGTAACTTTACACATTACAAAAACAAGAAAATTGTTGGTCATTCACATACAGAGTAATTATTATTATTATTATTATTATTTATATAAATGGTCTTTTTTGGCAAAGTGACATCGACTAGGATGGTGAGATGCCCACCACCTATATAGTGATTTCTATTCACTCTTGTGTATCAGAACATCCTTTGATGTGAGGGAGAGAATTCAAATTGTAAGAGTTAGGCTAACAAAAATTAAAAATTAACAATGCTAATCCATTTCTATTTTAGTTTATATTTTGATGATACATTTCCATTTATTTTTATGTCTTTTGTTTATTTACTTTATTTTTTCTAACTAAACGTACACCATGATCACATAATATTGTTTGGTTGCTTCTACACCATTGTCACTTAATTTAGTCCTCTCCGCACTCAATTAACAAGGACCAAATGGTCATTCTACATCCTTTTTAAAGGAACTGTAATTTCATCATTCATTACCCCCTTCTTGGGAAACTATTGATAAGAGTGTGGTGACCATATATAACTGTAAGTAAATAGAAATGACTAATAACTTTACCTGAATAATTGCATTGTCATTAAATACATCAATTATTTTAAAATAATTTTTTCATTAAATTATAAAAATAAATTCATATCACGCCAACTTTTTTTTCATTACATTTATATGAGTAATAAATGAAGTCATCCTATTTAATTAGGTGATGAAAATATCATCTCATTCTCGTATAGATATAAGCAAATGTCTCTAGGTGAGACTAGTTATCATTTTTCTATTTATAATAGATTACGAATTTTTATTTCATAAGCGTGATCTAATCCACCATAACTTTTTGTTTCTAATATATATATATATATATATATATCTATCTATCTATATGTATCTTTTTGGATTGTGTGTGGCTAAGACCATGAGGTGTTCAACCAATCATGTTTCATGTCCCAGTCCGACCAATCACGTTGCTTCAAATGAGTGCAGTGAAACTGTAGTGAAACAATCAATAGTGTCAAAGAATTTACTCATCTCATAGTGATTGTAACACTTGAAGTTCAATATACATCATACATGTGTGTATAATATTTAAGCTTTATGGCGAGCGAAAAGTTTCCAAGAAAAGTGCGGTACTTATTGTTTGGCATGTGAGAAAATTGTGGAATAGACAAGACTGAACAGAACGAAGAACATGGAGAGCAATAAGTAGAATGGTTGACTAATACCATTTTACCTTTTGAGAGAACAATTAATGATTCCTACATATGATGATGGCGCCCAACAATTCCACCAGCCCATCCTTGATGAGCTTCCCATGCACCATAAGGCCTAAATATTTTTATTATTATTATTATTTTTAATCCTGACAGATTAGAAAGACGGAAGATTTGAATACGGACATATATGTTCGAGGAATTGAATGTTCTACTAACTAAATTATTGAGTAATACCTATAAGGTTTAAAGGAAAAAAGAGTCTTCTTTCGATTCAAAATTTAATTGAAAATTTTCTCCCCCTAGATATCTCTCTCTCATGCTATTAGAAGTCAACAAAGAAATCAAAATAGCAAAATCATTTGAGGGTATTCACACTTCGGATCACGTGTTGGCAAAAGATAAAATTAACTAGAAATGAATTTGTGAATCGATTTGAAAAGCGGTAAGGGTTTGGAGAGGATTTCTCTTTGATTCTCAATTTGAGACTTGTCAAAAGTGAAACTCTATTTAAATTATTTAACAAATTTGCAAGCAATTGTGTGCTTCAAGAGGAGTTAACAAACTATCTGAATGTCTTCGTATAAATAAATAAATTAAAAAAGAAGTATGATAATCTTGCATGTTTATGTTTAAAACCAATTTTGAGTTAGTTTAACATATGTAAAAATGAATTAACTGATTGCTATTCTCATTTATGTTTCCCATTTATTTTCATAAAATTATGAAACATTTGTTTTACATAATTGATATTTTAACACTATAAAGAGAGGATATTTCACTGATATTATAACAATTAGTTTAAATCTGAAGAGAATTTCATTGATATAATAACACATACTTTAAATCTAAAGAGGGGACAACTCATGATTTCACTGGAGACAAGTATTTTCAAGTTTAAATATCAAAAGCATAGTAGTCTAATTTGATCATAAATCATGAGAATGAAAAATATTATCCAATGGCCTTAATTCTGACCCTGAATTTCTGATATATTATTTGGTAGCTCCGAACTCTTTCTTATCCAATGGGCTTTTCAGTTGGACATAAGCCCAAAATCATGGCCCAAAAGCCCAACTTCCCTTGATGTTTGTTTAATTTGGCCACCACGACTTGTGAGGGTTAAGAAATTACTTAGATAAGTAACACAACAAATGGTAAAGCCAATTTAGGATAATAAAACACAAAAAAAATATGTTAATTTTCTTGAAATGATTCTATAATCAAATTGGTGGCAATACATGACACCAAACGTGAACTCGACACTAAATAAGTGATTTTGAATTTGACTTAATTAATTTTATTTGAGTTGAAGTTGGGTTGACCCAAATTAACACGATAATTAAGTGTATCATGTTCATATTTGACCCATCACTCCGTTAATAACTTGATTAGGTCCGTTTAAACACATCATAGCTGTGTTAGAAATGATTGATTTACTAAATATGTTATTTCCATGTCAAAAATGATCTTAATACTATAAAATTTTAATTAAGTATTATTTATTAAACAGGTCATATGAAACGTGTTATTTTCGTTTCTTGACACGAATATATTCCCGTTATATTCGTGTCAACCTATGTAAGAATACTCATGGCAACACTTTATAGGCAATAAATTTACGTGCGTGTGTGTGTGTCTATATATATATATATATATATATATATATATATATATATATATATATTATTGAAATGCTTGGGTACCAACCACCATCTCCATATATATATTATTGAAATGCTTGGGTACCAACCACCATCTCCATACTCACAATAATAAACCCTTTATTCATATCTATACTTAGGGCCATAGCCTTTAACTTGTTGGACTTGGTTAGGGTGCATTAGCTTGACTAGCATTTACTTCATGGTTATCAAAATCACGATTCTGAATCGTACAATCGCACGATTTTATGACTCAAAACTCAAAATCGAGCCAAATCGTAACAGAATCGTTCAATTAGTAGAATCGGGGATATAATCAGTAGAATCGGGGATATAATCAGTAGAATCGTGGGTAGAATTTTACGATTCTACCTAATTCTACAAAATTGGTTGTTTGGGCCTTTATTTTTGGGTTTTTTTTTATTTTTTGGGTGGTTTCTTCTAGGCTACAAAATAAAAGAGGCCAAGCCCAAGTATAGTATACAAAGTTAAATATTTATTCTATAAAATATAAATTATGTTTCATTAGTGGCAGAAAAAGAAATATATATATGTATATATATCAATTATTTTTACCATGCATATCGATGTTCCATAATATATTTTTGTGTTTAATTATAAAAAATTAAAATGATCAATTATATCTCAAGGATGCATACTCGTGACTAACAGGTTTAGGCAAATTTTGGTTTCATGATCAATATTTTCATTTGACTAATTTTTTTTTTTTTTTTTTGAAGGCTTATCATATATATTAAAAATTAAAAATAATTTAAAAGCTTAAAAGACTTTCCGAATATGCCAACCAAGGTACAATCTTGTAGTCTAAACTGATAATATAATGAGATCAAGTTAACACGTGGTTTATTAATTTTGTTGTACTAACTCTTGATTAATTTCATACTTGTGACTAATAAGGTCACATACACCGTAACACTTGGATTGGTGTACAAAAAGGTCTTTTTATTTCTTCACTTTTCGAAGAAAAAAAAAAAAAGAAAGGAAATTGCATAAAGTTAAAAAAAAAAATTCCTTTTGATATGTAATTTTAGTTTCTAACTTTGGAGATGGATGAGTTAAGATTTGAGATTTGTAAACTCATGTTATTTTGAGCAACATTCTCTTTTATTTATATT